GCGGGTACAAGCAGATCACATGGTGAGAGGAAGCAAGAGAGAGAGAAGGTGCCAGAGTCCTTTAAACAATCAGGTCTCACGGGAACTAACAGAGTGAGAACTCACTCACTACCCCTCCTCCCCCAGGGAGAGCATTAATCCATTTATGAGGGATCCGCACTCATTACTCAATCAGTTTCCAACACTGCCACTTTGGGGATCAGATTTCCACATGAGCTTTGGAGGGGACAATGTTGCTTTGTGTTGCTTTGCCCCCCATGGATTTGTCACCCCACTTTCCCTGGGTGACAGAGATGCAAAGGATTACTCAAAGCCTATTTCTTCTGGGCAGTGAAAAGCCCCAAATTGGTTAACTTCCCTGGGAATGCTCCCTCCAGCAAGAGGCAACCCTTCCTCGGAAATTGATGCCGAATTGGGGTTCTTTTCCTGCATTTATTTTCCAGACCAGGAAGTTACAGGAAGAGAACATAGGTGGGATTATAGTTTAACAATGTAGGCTGGTAATGTTCAGTGAAACAAGTCAGATGACATTCCAGTAGACAATTAAGTGATCCTATAGCAATTTCTCAGTATCTTTACATAACAATCAGTAACTAGTCTGTTTTGAGCCAGCAACCTTGCTGTGTCACAATTCTCATCTTGCAACAAAGAATCACTAGCCTGGGGGAAATTTCCTGTCCTTGCAAGGTCAATATTTGAAACTGGAATATTGGAAAACCAGGCCCTGTGAAGTACATATGCTTTATAGTATATTCCACAGGACAACACATCCAAACTCCATCATTCTGCCCCCGGCCCCTCAAAACTCATGCCACTCTCACATACAAAAATAGTCATTCTGTCCCAACAGTCTCAAAAGTCTTAGCTTGCTCCAGCACCAACGGATAAGTCCAAAGTCCAAAGTCTCATCTGAGACCAAAAGCAAAAGTCCTTCCAGCTGTGAACCTGAAAAAAAACAAAACCAAATTTATCTACTGGCAAGATACAATGGTGGAACAGACATTGGGTATACATTCTCATTCCAAAAGGGAGGAATAGGCCAAAAGAAAGGAAAAACAGGCCCCAAACAATTCTGAGACCCAGCAGGACAGACATTAAATCTTAAAGCTCCAAAATAATCTTCTTTGACTCCAACTCCTGCATCCTGGGCACACTGGGGCATCTGGGTCCCCAAAGCATCAGGCAGCCTTATTCCCACAGCTCTGCCAGGCACAGCCCCATGAGCTTTTCCAGGCCTGCATCGCACATTACCAGTGGCCCTGCAGTTCTGGGGTCCTGGCAGCAGCCCTGCTGCCTTGGCTCTACTAGACATTTCCCTGGTGGGGGCTCTCACCCCACTTTTCTGCTCAGCATTGCTCTAGTAGATGTCCTCTGCAGTGACTCCGCCCCTGCAGCAGGTCTCTGCTTGGGTCCCCAGGCTTTTCCATACATCCTCTGGAATCTGGGTGGAGGATGCCACACCTCCACTGCTCTCACATCCTGCTGGCCTGCAGACTTAACACAACATGGACGCCACCAAGGATTCTGGCATCTATTCTCTAGGGCTGCTGCATGAACCACACTTAGGGCCGCTCCAGCTGGAGCAGCTGGGATGCAGGGAGCAGGATCCTGAGGGCAGCTGTGCCC